TTGCCTCTTTAACAACCCGTTCCCACCAGCGTGTTTCGCGGTCTAATACATCCGTGGACTCGAGTTTGAAAGAGTGACCCTGGTTGTGTTGTAGGTGGTGGAAAATAGCTGAGGAGTAGCCGTTGGCACTAGGTCGGCAATGTTCTTTGTACCCTACTTTAAGCGGTCGACTTGTCTCTCCGATGTAGGTGTTGTTACAATTGGGCTCCTCACATTTGAGTCTGTAAATAACATTCGCCTGAGAAACTCCGACGGATCTTCCAAAACTTCAACATAGCCACTAACTTCAAACCTCACTCAACCCTCAGACAAAGACTGGTACACCCTAAGGACCGACCTCACAAGGGTACCAAGGCGAATGTTATTTACAGACTCAAATGTGAGGAGCCTAATTGTAACAACACCTACATCGGAGAGACAAGTCGACCGCTTAAAGTAAGGTACAAAGAACATTGCCGACCTAGTGCCAACGGCTACTCCTCAGCATTTCCACACCTACAACACAACCAGGGTCACTCTTTCAAACTCGAGTCCACGGATGTATTAGACCGCAAAACACGCTGGTGGGAACGGGTTGTTAAAGAGGCAATATATGAAAGAATGTACAACCCCACCCTCAACAGGGAAGGGGGGCTGCGGGTCGATCTTTCCGGCACTTGATATTTGGCACTCCCAGCCCCGAGGACAGACAACACTTAAGCTCCTGTCCTGTATAACAGGAGCTTTCAGACTAATTTGCATCATCTTGTCTTGACTTGTCTGACTTTTGTTCCTTTTTCGACTTCCAAAAATTTGTCTTCACTTGATTTGCATATCAATCAACAGGTTGTATATATAAACCTGCTTTCCCCTCTGGTCTCTCAGTCACTGACGAAAGCTAGTGGATACTAGCTGAAACGTCTGACGTTTTCAAAATCATATCCAGTTGCTTGAGTAACTGTTTTTTGGCATATCGTATTACCTGGATGTCTAACCTTCATCGACGTATTTTGAGAGATATTTGCAGTGTTTACTTGTGTATAGTGCCTGGGTACAGCTAGCGGGAGGCACCCCGCGGTGAGTGGGCGGCGCACTCAGCCATAGCAACGCGAACAAAAGGCTAGCAACCGGACCATTGTGTTGTATATGTACGCAAATAGGAAGTAGCCCCTCCCGTTGTTTCATGGATCAAACATGTCTTTTGTTGTTTTTCGTTGAAATACAGGATGTCTGGTCTGTGAAGGTATATATAATGTTCTTAATCCCCACAAACCATAGTGTTTCTCCACCCATTTTCTTACTACCACGGCAAAAGGGTGTAATTTGCGCATTCTTTGGGAACATGGCCACCATCGTCGGCTGGATAAGTGAGTCCGTCCGGGAGATTTTGACGATCTCTGGGCTGAATCTGCAGTCTTTTCTTGTCTTCTGTACGGTCTTCATTCTGGCGTGTTTCCTCTTGAAGCGCCGCAGAAACCTACCCCCCTACCCCGCAGGACGCGTGCCTGTTCTCGGGCACCTCCTCGCCTTGGGCCGAGCGCCTCACCTCAAGCTGACGGCGTGGGGGCGGCAGTACGGGGACGTCTTCACCGTAAGGATGGGGATGGAAGATGTGGTGGTTCTGAACGGCTACACTGCCGTCAAGGACGCGCTCGTGGACAGGTCCGAGCTGTTCGCCTCCAGGCCGCCAATGTACCTGCTTGATGCGATGGTTGATTTTGGAAAAGGTAAACCTGTAATTCACTGTGTGCTATTCTTCACATAAGTCGAACAATAAAACTTTAAAAGTAATCTAAGTCTAACTATAAAATAAATGAAAAGAAAC